GGGGGGGGGGGGGGGGGGGGGGGGGGGGGGGGGGGGGGAGGGGTACGGTTTAGCGACAAGGTTCGAGTTGACGGTGACTACAAGAGCGGGGTTACAGCGGTGTGTTTTGACCGGAGGGTGTTCTTAGAGTGCAGCACGGCGGTGAAGAGGGTGGGGGAGACAAGAGCAGCAAGAGCAGGGGGGAGGACCAGCACAGATCGAACCTCTCACGACAGTCGTTTCGCCGCAGTACATGCTGAGAGTAGCACCGAGTGACGAGGGAATCTAGTTAAGCACGCAAGCCGCCCACACACCACGGGGGCTGAGCGACGACGAACGATAGGTCAAGGGCTGACCTTTGCCGCAATACACGAACCAAATCGAAGCAGCGCCGGCTACGCCAACACCTCCCTCGCAAACGGAACGGCTGTCGCTATGTTTGTCTTCACATTAAAGACCCTTCCGGTCTCCGCTCAGTACCTTCTAGTATCCATCCTGACGCGGACGCCTTCCGTGGTCACAGACTGAACACCCAAAGCACGAGACGGTGACCCCAACACAGAAAAAAGACGAAGAGGGAACCACCAAAAACTTGGCCGACATGCCAGGGCGTTTCAGTAGCCTTTGCAAACATGTTGGTTATAGCACACAATCGGGAAAGTTGGGTTAGGGTTAGGGTTAGGGAATAGGGTCTGCGTAACCCCTCCTTGTTCTACTATTTCCTCAGAAAGCTTCACTTCTCGCCAAGGCGACCCCGCGTTTCGGCCCCGGAAAAGTCGCGAAACACCGCGAGATCAAGAAGACCCGAGCAAAAGACAACGGATCGACCAACCTGGCGGGCTATCCGTGCGGTGAGGTGGATGCGGTTGTTGGAGGGGTCAAGCGCGTCCCGGTAGGATGTGGTGATGGTGTCCAGCATCTGCAGGAGCATGGACATGTTGTCGGCCTCTCCCGTCTGCCGCCCGGCCCCGATGAGCGGCTCGATGAGAAAGTTCAGGTACTTCTCCATGTTCTTGATACGCTGCTTGTCGTCCTGATCGGCCGAAAAAAGACACCGCGTCAAGAGGGATTAGAAGTTCGACTACACCGGCGGGCACGGTGAAAGAGAAGGTCTGGACAAGCCAAAACACACTACTGCCCCCTTAAAAAAAGTAATTCACACGGCTACGAAAAGCGTTTTCTACTATTCGTAAATCCTTACTCCTCGAAAATACATCATCTCTCTAGATAACCCTAACTCGTACGGCGTAGTATGCGTGTTTCTCACGGTCGTGGCAAAAGCGTTTTCTCCTTGCTATAAATCCACACCCGCAGCCACGATTTAGCGTACAAAATTCCCTCTTGCCTTGTGCACTGGAAAGTCCGGGTGGTACGCCAGCAGGTGGATTGCGTAGGGCAGCACGTACTCCGGCATCGACCTCTCCAAGGCAGCTGCCGCCGCCACCGCGGACGATGCCTTCGTCGACGCCGGCGACCCCCCGCCCTCTCCCTCGCTGCCGGCATCGTCAACGTCAACGTCGTCGTCAGCTGCTGCTGTTGCTGCTGCTGCTGCTGCGGCGGCGGCGGCGGTTGCCCGCTGGTGCGCGAGCCTCAGCTGGCGGATGTTGTTGGCGACGGCAAGGGTTGCCTTTTTCCTGATCGGTTCGGGCTGTCAACGGGGGCATGGGACCGGGGTAGGGTGGGCGTTGAGGCCGGCTGGCGAAGCAGCAGCACAGCAGCAGCGGCAGTTGGGTGAGGTGACTTTTGCTTGAACAAGACTTGGCCGCCGGTTGGCGTATCGCCGCTTCAGTCAGTCTAGTGTATCGCTTCCTCTCCTCTCGTCTGTCTTCGGTCCCGATCACGGCCCTCTTCCTCTTTTGCCGGCAAGCAACGACACCTTCCGAAATCATC